AGAAGAATGCATACATTCTTCTAAAGATCTTGCGAAGAGGAGACACATTACCTATTTATTTATTCAGTATTTTGAAGGTGTGCTCAAAGATAATCAAACATCCATGACCAGTTGTGGCTAAATAGTAAAATGCAACGAGAACTGCGCAGGGGCTCGAAAACTGAAGCCATTGCTTGAACAGGTTATGTTCCCGCATGAGAAGAGTCGCGGTGCGGTGGTGGGGGACTCCGCGGCATCGCTACCCTCCTACCCATGGTCGCTGAGCGACACGCATCCATGCATTTTCAGATGCCAAAGGTCACGCGTTTTACAGGGCCCTGTAGTCTTCCACCTGACATTGGAGTTATTTAATTTTCTCACAGAGGCGGTCGCTAAACCAACTATACGTTGGAATTACGACAAATCCGAATATCTTAGAAGCGAATGCGCAGTATTTTTTTTTCAAGCGAAGAGACACCCACAAGGCAACTCAGTATTTTAACTAAGAACGTTGAACGCTCATCAAGAACTTGATAAGCCTCTCCGTCGAAGACGAAAATTTCCTGGCTCGCTAACCACCCAGAGGGGGAGTTCTGGTGGAGAGCTCAAGTGACCAAACAGTTTTTTTTGAGCAATACGAAACAAGCAACTGGAAAGAGAATGAAAGAGCTGGAAGTCGGTTGAAAGAGACTTGCACACCTGCTGCACATAAGAAGGAGTGTCCCAATGAGTAGAGGGTTTTGGAGCACAGTTTTTTGGTGCGACTTTGGGCCGTTTGATTGGAACGGTTTCCACCTCTTGTTGTAGTGACTTAGGCCTGAACACTTTTGCATTTAAAAAAATATATATGTACTAAAAACACAATGCAGCTCTTCTAAGTATGAATACTCACACATAGCCTAGTATTTTACGAATGTTCGCATCGACAGCCTTCGCAACGCTTGTGGTAAGCACCGGTGGTACAATACCTTAATAAATATTTGCAATTAGAGCGTAAAAAAAGGGAAAATTTTTTACCCACCTCCATTCAAGTCATCGAACCTACAAGCAGACAGCACTTCTGGCGAGAGGAAAAGCATACGTTGATAAAACTCCCAACCGCTCACTTCTCCCTGCCTTGCTTTCGTCATTTCATCGTCGAATTGACCCTTGAGCGCACGCCACTTTTCATATAAAACATCTTCTGAAAGGAAAGGGAATAAACAGTGAAGTTAAGCCGGGTCTGCTCGATTTTACTGGAATATTGAGCAAAATGATCTCACGAAAATTCAAAAGCAGGACCACTCCAGTTTCAAAAGTTATTATCGAAAGAGAGCAGAGGGATGCAGAAATCAAAGGCACGCAAAAAGAGCCCCGCCCCAGATGGCCACGCCCCTTTTCGCCCGAACATATTCCCAACTTAGTTAATGAGCTTTCTTTGGAACTTGCTCAACAGATGCTTACAGAAAACCCAATTAACGGTTATGCACAACATATTCACATTTTAGCATATGAAACACGGCACTAATAACCAAACAGGTAATAAACACAAGCAAATGGGAAAGAAAAGGCTGCATCAATGTTGGAAATTAGTAGACAAAACACAACAGGGGCCAAGCAAGTAAAAGCTAACCGTTAATAATAAATCCACCGGTGACTCTATGAAGTCTCCTTGATATGCCACGCAGAAGCTCCTTGCGCTTTTGCTGGTCGTTATAATGTGGATGGGCAAAATGCCATAGCGCAGGATGTTCTTTGAAGCTATCAATTAGTTCACAGACCACTTCGGATGTCCAGCTGACGTCTGAATTGTCATCCATTCAAAACTCACTCACAAAAAACATTTCTCAAGAATTCATAATCCATTTGCTCGGACTAAGGGTGAAAAGGACAACAAGTGCCAAAAGTAGCAGTTTAACTCCAACATTAAAAAGAATCTGACAAAAGTTAGTGTGTTAATGGAACACTAGCAAGGCTGCGTTCATACTTTGCGTCACTGTTTTGGGCTATCAGGAATGTATGGATATCGATCTAGCGATCTAAGCGTACGCCAGCGTTTTCAGCGACTACTCGCGAAAGCGCTTAAACCTTTTGATCAATATTTCTACTTTCCTGTCGCACGAAACGTTAAAGTATGCTTAAAACGTTGACGCAAAACATTGCCGCCTATAGCCAAAACTCAAAATGAGATCTAATATTATGATACCTAGAACCGAGTATCTTGGTATTGTATTGTTATTGTTGCTTTCTTTGTTCAAAAACTGGTGGAGCACGGGTCTAGCACCGCCCCAAACTCATCCCACCTGACACGCCCTTCGTCCGCAGAAAAACTATACAGGCGGGGCCAAAAAAAGTCACTTTTCTTCCTTGACTTTCGAGGCGCTTTATAAAATTCTGATCGGACATTTCTACCACCATATTAAAGAGCATATTAAATACTATCATGATACTCCGCCACAGCCTTCTGGAGAGCGCCATCGAGAGATTCTGCCACGCGACCGTGAGTGGGTACCTGAGTTCAGCGAGATAGTTGATTTCTCCGCCACTGTAGACCACCCTGTTGAGCTCCGCCCGAACCGGGTAATTGAGGGGGTTTAGGTCAGGTGACCTACTTAGATATTCCATCTTCTTCAGGTACTCAACGTCCTTCCATTCCAAGTGGGCGAGAGTTTTTCCAACGCCCTTCGAATCCACGTGGTGTCACCCAATCCTGTAGCAGTACAAAGTTTCCAAGAAGGTACGGGTGACGACATGTGGGGAGGATATTCTTCTCGAGTTGCTCGATGTAACCGCCAGCGCTCACCTTCAGTCCGGGGTCACGAAAATATCGGTCTTTCCATTCCAGGTACTCAGGTCCATACCATCACCCGCGCCTTGGCGACTGCGGTGAAGATGATGTCCTAGACCGTGGCGACGTTGTCGGAGCTGCTCGATGTTGGAGGTCTTCCAGATCGAGAGTACTGGTCTCCAGGTAGCTATCCATGGGTGACTCCATACTAGAAGTTTGTTTGGAGGTGACATGAATTCCAAAGGTCTTCTCCAGTCAGGCTGCGACTGGAGATGACTTCATATTTTGGTGTACATGAAGGTGATGGGCGAGAGCCAGCTCCTGCTTATCGAGGAACATCTTGGGTATCCCTGGTACTCGTATCCACGTCCTCTGTCTGGGCTGCGAAAACTTTGCTGATATGTGACTCGGTCGAAGTGACTTTTTTTGCCCCTTCCCCTGTACATGCACGACCTAGCCAGCGCAGACCGAATTAACTCATTCAAGCAAAGCCTTCCCATTATCAACTGAACTTCACCCCACTTCCCAGAAGAAGTGTGGACGTAGCTGCGTAATCAGTTTAAAGCGAAGGGCGACTGTGCTTCTTGTAGAATACTGCCGTTAGCAGCTATACTCATGTCTTTGTCCAGTACACGAAGGATGACGGTGGTCCTATATGGAAATACCCCACGGAAAAGCATCATGGGCCATGTCCGAATGAAATACCGTAACCGCGGCCCTTCTATCTTCGGGATATGGAATATACAGTGGGTATAAATGAAGCATTATCGCTCAATGAACACATCTGCTTGCAGTCGAGACTGATGAAATGAACACTAACCGGCACTGGATGTTTGAGGAGGCTCCTTTGCCATCTCTTCTGTTTTCTTGTTGATGTTATTTGACAGAAGAAAAGCTAACGTAGGTTCAGTAGCTGCTGGAAAGAGACCATATACAATGAAGTATAGAGGTCATTACTGCATAGTCGTATAGTACAGAACACCAAACCTGAAGCTGGGATGTCTCCTGGTGTCAGGTTCAAACCGTCGTCCTCAGGACATTCCTGCTTCACATTAAACACTGAAAAGGAATATAAATAACAGAACAGCAACCATTTGAAAATAAAACGGAATTTGCATCAACTACATATGGGCTACAAATAGTTTTCCAATGAGTAATCAACTACATTTTTCTTCCGAAAAATTTTCAGTGTTCTCCACATTCGCTGTTCTCAGTTCATGCTCAATTGCAGCCTCCAATGTACTCCTTTTCATGGCTGATTGCTGTCGATTAATTCCTTAAAAAATGTGTTCAGCATAACAACTAAGCGCAAGGATTCAAGCTGAAGTTAACCGATAACAAGGAGCATGAAGGAAATAAATATATATTACCTGCTCTGATACACTAGAGAAAAGGATTGCCAGCAAACAGCCATTTCCACTCGAAGCTGCGCATGCCCTTCCTGACATTTTGCCCAGGTTGCGCTTCATGGAACATAATTCTGAGTGAGTATATAAAAATCTCATAGCATCCCACTATATATAACCTGCTAATTTTGTCTGTTGGTGGTGGCGTGTGTGCGTGTTTGGCCGGAAATTCAATTTTTTCGATTTAGACATAGGAAGTTCAAATTGATAAGTGATATAGTGGGTGCGACTGGAACATTATTGGTGGGTGACAGGAAAGTGATAGCAGCTGATTGAGCTAACAAGAAGCGCCAGAAAGAAAAGGTCGCAAACTCCACAGCGCCGGTACCAGCAACGGTGCGACGTTCGTTCAGGCGACTGACTATATATACACCCGACTAAAGTTTGTCTGTGTGTGTGTGTTGGTGTGTTTGTGTGTGTGTTTGACCGGAAATTCATAACTTTCTTCAAAATAGCGATAAAGCGCTCAAACTTATAAGTGATGTAGGGGGTCGGGCAGGAACACTGTTGGTGGGTGGCAGGAAGTGATAACAGTTGATAAGATACCATAAGGGGCCTTATAAAGGCAAAGTAAGCAAATTCATAACGCGCGTCACAGCAAAGCTAGAGCGTTGGCTCCAAGAAGTAAGATAGGGGCAGGATGGGAACATTATTGGTGGGTGGCAGGAAGTGATAACAGCTGATAAGATACCATAAGGAGCCTTAAAAGAGTGAGTTACCTAATTCATAACACCGGCCACAGCAGCGATGGGACGTTGGTTCCAAGAAGTTAGATAGGGGGCAGGATGGGAACATTATTGGTGGGTGGCGTCCTGCCGGCACCGGTGCCCAAGGAACAATGGTCAGAGGCTTAGTGAGTCAAGTATTCTATCCCTTAGCGATATGGTTGCGACTGCTAAGCTCTCGAGTTTCGACGAAAATAAAAGCCCTCGAAGCTGCTCAACGGAAGTACTAGGATGTGAGAAATGTGAGGATATTTCACCATGATATCGATGTTATTACCATCGAAAGTCTTTCAACCGCTAAGCTGTCCTATTTCCAACGGATGGTGAGTGTTTCTTAGAAATGTGATAAGCACCAGACATTAGCAAACGTTCATTAAATAGGAGAAACATAATGAAATTCTAAAAAATTGTAATCGGGCGAAGTGTTCGGGGTCAATACAGGAATCCTGTCAGCGCAGTACCATTACCATAGGTTCAACCATACGCGCAGTAGTGCGCGTCAGCCAAGCTTGTATGATATAGGGCAGGAACACTATTGGTGGGCTGCAGAAATTGACAGGTACTGGTAAGATCCGATAAAAGAAGTTAGAACTGAAAAGTCGCCTGTTTCATGGCGCCCGTCACAGTAACAGTGAAAAGTTGGTTCCAACAGGTGATGTATGGGATAGAGGGGGATATTACTCAACGGGTGACAGCGAGATAGCAATTGATAGGGTGTTCTGGTAATCCATCAGAACCCGCACTCTCTTTGAAGTAACATAGATAGCCATTGGAATTACCGGTACACTTTGATGATTGTTGTTGCATAACAGATGTTGAGCGTGACCTCGCTGACATAAAGAGGCACGCCCAGATATGTGAGCATTCTACTACTACTATTCTACCACTGAACACCTTTGCTAAGGTGAATAAACTCTTGTAAGCCCAGAATAGCTTACACAGAAGTACTCTGCGGGAGCCACAATACTCCCAAATAATCAAAGGCGCCACCCTTCCGCCTAAGATACCACATAGGGGTGATAAAAGGCACTGCCGCCATCGTTTTCCTCAAGGTTGTACGTATTTCACTTCCAAAGGGTAAGTGATATGGACATTGGTGACAAGTGACAGGCGATTATAACAGTTTATAAGAATAGATAAGTGGTTACCTTCACTTCATTCCTTACCACTATACTTCTAAGTAGTATCGCAGGCCCAAGTGTATAGTGAACTCAATAACTCTATCGTTTACAGTCGAGCGGAGGGAGGGGGGGGGGAGCCCCCGCTGTAAACGACAATGAGCATTGGCCGAAATTGGTTCTGTTGCGGTTTTCGTCAGCTCTCATTCCCTCTTATTGTATAATTTGAATTTTCGCCATTATCGATAAATAGAAATTGGCATCACCTACATTAGCTAAAGTAAAGCGCTTCGCTTTGCTTTATTGGTCAAGTATAACGCTTCGTGCCTAGAGTACGGGACAAGTGAAGACTCAATGAACATTTGTATGAAAATTTGATACCGTCTCTCTTCTGTTGCTCTTTTTCGAAATAATGACGAATGCCCCTATTCTATGACTTTTTTGAATGTAACATACTGTTTGCGGTACTATTTACCCTTTTCTGCCCCAATCATCCGAAACTGAGCCCATTTGTGACCGAGACTCGGCTCAAATATCGTCTTCTAGGGAAATTTTACGTCCTGAATACGAATATCACATCCGTTTAACCGGAACCAGCTAGCGTCCGCGCCACAGGCGCCGGTGATCCAGGGTATTTTGGCGCTGGCGTCTGTGGCATGGGCGTCCAGGAGGTTTCGGGCCGAGCGGATGAGATATTCATACACAGGAGGTCAAACTACCCCAGGAAACAAACTCTTAGCTGCTGCTTCTGGTCGCGGAGAAAGAAGTCGGCCAAAAAGTGGCCTGATTTCGGATGCTAGGGGCAGTGGAGGGTATAGCGCTTTCTTTTCTGCTGCGAAGCACAGTTGTGTGAGTGAGGGGGCAACGGTGACTTAGTACAAGCGGACGAATTCGGTAATTAAATGAACGAGATTGAGGAGTGGGTGGACCACTAACCACAAATATCGTGAATGGGTATGTGACAGGACATTCGTAATATGCAGCACGGGCGGGCGCGGTGAGCAGCGCTGCACCCAGGGGACGAGTTCTTGTCCCTGACCGGTCGCATGTGACTTCAAAGTGATGGGGAAAGCCGATATTGCCTGTCATAAAGTTGTCCTTACTTTAGTTGAACTAATATGAGCTTCGGTGCTTCATTCGACTATATGACGCACATCGATAACTTGCCGCAGTGTACGTTTACATGAAACGACGACGACGCGCGCGACGACGCGACGAATTACAACTTACCCTTCTAACGGCGTGAACAGCTGCAGTAAGCCACGTCATAGGAATGCCAGTGAGGGAAAGCAATACAAGACAAGGATAAAGGGAAAATGGTGGCTTCTCAGGAAAGCTTCAACCACTGACTGAATATAATTTATCAAGGCCCATTAACAAAGAATGTATACACACCTTTGACTCTAAAACTTCCGCTTCAGTCTCTGCATAGCGAGCCGTAGCTTCCGATAACAGATCAGGAGTCAATGAGCTGGAAGAAATCCAGCCGGATATTGCTTCACTTCACTGTATTGTTACAAATGAGCTACGAGCAATACTCACTCAATATATTGAACACCATTCAAAGCGGATTCCATATGGAATGACATGGCACTCTGGAATCGCCAATCGAAATGAGGCCGCTCTACAGCACGTGTGTACATCTCCATCATCCAACACCATTTCTTCCAACACGAACCATTCTACAAAGCAAAGGATGAACAGTAGAAGAAAAAATGGTGTAAGGCAGCTTCCTACTTTGCGGCAGGGTCCACCAGCCTATCCAAGCGTACGCCAGCGACTAGGAAAGTAGATATCGATCTAGCGAAGGCTAGCGTCTACCAGCGTACAGCGGCGTCCCCGTGGGTCTACGGACAACTTGAACTCAACTCCTTTGAACTTGTGACTTGGACTCAACTCCTTTGAACTTGTGACTTGGCACATTCCAGCTTTTCACGTATGATAAGTGGCTCACCCACCCCGGAGTCCCCTCCCCTTGAAAAGCTCGTTTCCTGGCTCGCCATAGTTTCTTGCACGTCTCGATGCTTTGGCAGGCGCTATCCTCTATCTGTCTTTCTTGGTTTTGCAACAGGCTGTTTGGCCCAAGTTCAAAAGTGCCCGCGAAAACGCTGCTGTACGCTGGTGGACGCTGACGCAAAGTGTGAACGCCCCCTAATGAATATGTTTGAACAAGATCCCGGTACATTCACACGATCAAAAAGTGACAACTCGAACGAATGTTCGAAATCGAAACTCTATGCACATCTGATTGCTTATTGTTTCCCCGCAGGTAGGTGTAGTATGAGGAGCCCAGTCAACATATGGAAACCCTGTGCTTAAAGACTTTGACTAGGGAAGGGAGCTCTCGGCAATATTCACCCATTACTACCCTAAAGTAATAAAAAATTTTTTTTGTTGAAACTTTACCCATAGGAGTAACTCGCTATCCTGATCACGAATATAACACTCGTTTTCGGCGCCGCCACCTTTCTCACCAAATTCGATGTAAATTTGCATAGTAGGGTTACTTGATGTCCTGATCACGAATACGCATTAGTTTCCAGCCCTGGCGCCATTAGGGCGCTATGGTCTACCTGATTTGGCGCCACCCCTTTTTCATCAAAATCGATAAAAACCTGCATAATAGGGTTGTTTGATGCCCTGATCACGAATATGACATTTATTTTTCGACACCAGCGCTATTCAGCGCTCTTCTAAGGCTGAGCCTGAAGGAGTAATCCCGTTCAGGCCAGGCTCAGCCTTAGCAGAGCAGATAATGTAGTGTCTTCGTCAGCGCCAGCGCCAAAAATGAGTTAACCAAGATGTCAAATAACCTCCCTATAGAAGTTTTCGGTGGATCTGGTGACCTAGGCGCTGAATCCACCAAATATTTTGGCGCCGGCGCCTGTGGCCGCAGGCGCCAGGCAGCCAAGTGGATGTGATATGCGTGTTCAGGGAAGTCGAAACCCCTAGTACCCAACTTCCAGCAAAATCTGCCCCCGCAGAAAGTCCACCAAAATCCGGC